AAAAAAAAAAAAATTAGCTGCTGAATAATTCGGAATAAAAATTAAGGTTCGCATTTGAAAAGAATAAGTTTATATTACCACACTTAAGACACTCTTTAAATCGTCAAAACATATAAAGTCTACGTAAATTTGARTTTATGGTTGCTTTAATACACCCACTTAAAATATCCAGAAAATATGTTATTTTAATTTTATTTTTTTTTGTCAAAGAAAAAATTAGAGGCAAGCACGTTAGATGGGTCACATCCTGTATTGTGCGTGTTCATAGATTGATTTCCGTCGGCGGCGGCACAGTTGATTCGGTTTTACGACGACTTCTGCCGCAATGTCCAAGATTTACGATAGCAATAATACAATATAACGACAGCACTAATAAATTGTCATGTTTATTGTCGTTGCGGTTTTCTATTGGAAAAAACGCGGTCGATCGGACCACCGCAGTGGTTCGTGTTTTCCGAGCGCTGCCGTCAGAAAATTTGTGATGCTTATAAAAGTATAATATATCCGGCTAAAAGATCAGACGCATTAAACACAAAAAAAGTTTTGTAAATCCAATCTCACGGCGTTGATGATTCCACATATCGTGTTGTAGGTGTATACAATARCAAAGACGAGTACGCGAGAATGTAAAATTTACCACGAGAAATCGTGACGTCATCACAAGAATTATTGCTCGAAATGAGCAACGACGACGCCGKTTTTCAGATGGACYTACGACGTGTTGTGTGATAATATTTGTGTGATTCTCTCGCGCAGAACAGAAATACAACAGGAAAAATATATTATTATTTACAGACCACAGAGGTGTTATTTTCTGGTGCAGGAAATGCCGGTTTCCGAGAATTTTACGTGACATACACCGACAAAAATTTAATTCCCGAGACGTCTCTATCGCCTTCTTTCGTGTTTCCAACAACCTACATCCGAACACTGTGTACGCATAATGCGAAAAAATTAATTCCGAGGACATTGAACATCGCGTAGAAATTTAAAATATTTAAATATCCTAAAGGGACGTTAAATTATACGCARTTATATTGTTGGCGACGTGACGTATTCAAAGTGATTGTTGTTCGGGGAAAATAAAAAAATATAAACATATAATAATAATATGAGATATGAATATATRWWTACATTTGAGTTAATCGTATTTGGTAGGAATCGGTAATAACGACAACGGTTTAAATGACAATTTTTTTTATTAGAACATTTTATTTATATTGGAGAATTCGTTGGYGACTTTAATTCGTGATGTATATTACGCGGAAGACGATATTTGACTGAGAAAAAAAAAACCCATACAACATTGGATGCTTATATTTACGGTGGTGGTAATACTATTGTTATGGTTGTTGCAGGCACTACCACAGCATGGAAGTGTTTGCCACATTCGACGTGCTAGACGGCGGTGGCATGAAGGTGGCCGAGGGACATAAGGCGTCGTTTTGTCTAGAAGACAATCAGTGCACGGACGGCGCCAGACCGGCGTTCGCGTGCGCCGACTACGGTGACCAGGGCATATCTGTCAACTGTTCGGACATTTATCGGCACAACATCGACTGTCAGTGGGTCGACGTATCCGATCTGAACCCAGGGCTGTACACACTTAAGGTAAGCTCGCGGTTAACCGTGTACCACGTGATCGGTTACGACCTTTTKCGGTCGTCAGTTTTCAGATCGAAAAACCGGAGCATCATGGGCGTTGTCGCGAAAGACACTGTTATCATAACAGTTGCGAACGTTATTTTTTTTCTTCGTAATTATTGACGTGGACGAATATAGAATTGATTGTTTACAATTTTTTTTCGTTTTAAAATGTTTTCAAAGTAGAGATGTTGGCAAATTAATTAACCACCTTATATTATGTTGTACGCTATATAAATTAAAAACATAAACGCAGCCGAACAAAAGCACCTATATTGTCTACGTACCTAGGAGATATTCACTGTACATATTTTTAGGTACTCCATTAACAATTTATTTACATATACCTATAATATTTTCAATGAAATACACGCAAATATAATAATAATACGACTCACGTACAACGTTACTACCGGCAGCGATTCTATAATAATAATAATAATATGGATACCTAGCCACGTCGGAATCCGGGAAATGAATTGGCTGACACGTATGCCAAAGAAATCATCTCCTCCCATCACTCTTACAAAATTCACACCTATACTCTTCACGATCTAAAATCCGTCATCGACAAACACATTTTAACTCAATGGCAGATCTCGTGGTCATCACTTCACACCAAGCTAAATAAAATAAAATCTACAGTTTCTCGATGGCCATTCTTCTCATTACCAAGACGCCAGGAAGTAATTTTAAACGGATTACGGATAGGTCGCACATGGGTGACCCATAAACACCTTATGAACAAATCAGAAACTGACCAATGTCAAACTTGCGGTGAAACTTCCACGGTTGAACATCATCTAATATGCCACTGCCGTAAATTCACCGACATCAGGACCAAGCTCAACATAGAAGACAATTTGGAAGAAGCCCTAAGTCCCCAGCCAAGCAACATTGAAAAATTAATCAGTTATTTAAAACAAACCAAACTATATCAAATTATTTAACCTAGATATATACCTCAATCCTTTTTTGTTCATACTATTATACCTTTGTTTTGTATATATTATTGTTAATGATTCATTCTTGTGCAAAAAAATATCAATGTTAAAGGCCAATAACCTTTGTTGTTGAGGCTCATTTCAAATTTAAAAAAAAAATAATAATACGTAATAATGTACGTCGTCGTCGTTGGAAATMACTTTTGTTTTCGCTATAATAGTCGACCGCCGCCAATATTCACTGTCTGCCGCACGCTCGTTCGACGRATACATATTATTATTATTATTGCATTGCATGACGGCGGCGTGGTCTCCTGCCCGTGACACCGCGAAATCGAATCGAACCAAAAACAATTCAATATAATATACGACATATATAATATTATATGTATATATAGTATAGTACGCGGCACACGAAATGAATTCGTTGTTTTTCTCGTTACAGGTGTCTGTCAATCCGGAGCACAAAATCCCTGAGATGACGTACGCAAACAATGCGGCCGTGTGTTCGATGTTCTATTCCGAGACTTTCGTGAAGATCCACGACTGCGTCCTACAAAACCCGTGACGGGTTCGTCGATGACGTGGCCTGGTCTACTAACGACGCCGGCAAGCATTTATTTGATAAAAAAAAAAAAAATGGAAAAATGGAAAAATGGAAAAATCTCGATGGTTATTGCGTGCACCCGAGTAAAACAATATTTACACTCGATGATAATATTATGTGATAGAATTTTTTTTTTTTAAATTTAATTATTATCACGCGAATAAACGTACGACGACGGTATTTTTAAATATTACGTATGGTATATCGTCCACCGCGCGAACGGTGCCAAACGTAATATCATAAACGTCRTCGTTCGACAACACTACGCTGTACATACGGGCAATTCGCTGTCAATAATATTATCAAATTTTAACTTTGAATTTTGTTCGCAGTCGCCTAAGAGGTTGCTCGCATATTCAGTCATATTATTATAATCCTATAAATGCACCGAATTCAAATAATCTCCAAATAATATTTATGGTATAATGCACTAGTAGGAATTTATATCGTATTTTAACAAATCATACTACGCCAGTGAACGGAAAACGAGCCTACGGCTATTATAGTCATATRCATATATATTATTATGAATAACCCAGTAATGTGCACGTTTATTTTATTAATGTTAGTTACCCCCTCCATCATGCCATATATATATAATATTATTGTGAATTTTCAATCTAATAAAGATAATTAAAAAAAAAAAAAAATATTGATTTAAAAGTTTTTCCTTTGTATTATTTTATATTGACGTCAACAACTAAGAAGAAGAAGAAGAAGACAGAAGTAAAAACTTCGCTTGGCTTTTGTAGATCATGATTAGCCAAACTTTTCCAACTTCCTGCTATTTGTTGAGTAGGAATTAATATTATAGTATTCGCCATTTAAATTAAAAAAAAAAAAAAAATTCTGACTAGCATCTGTAATATATAGTGAGTAGTAAACTTATAAGGGTTGATGATGTTAAAAGTAAAAAAAAAAACACACGTATTATGTTGTAATACGATATAGAAAAATAAATATTTTAGGAATAGACGAGTATAATAATTTCGAATAATAAAGAACATGGTAAAAAAATACACTCAGGGGAAGTAAAACTTCTTTCATAATTAATGGGTCCGTTAAATCATAAGTGAGATTTAAATATAAGATTTAAATCATAAATGACGCGCTATCACACTCGGACATATAACATTTAACCATTCAAGCGATTTCTGTCGCAGCCATACACCGTTTCATTTTTCATGACGATTTTTTTCTGCATCCATACCTCAAGAAAGAAGTTTTACTTCAAAAAAACATCGATTATTTGATAATATTATTTGACAAATATAGTACCTAGGTTATAAGTTGTTAGTCTATTACATGTWTACCAATCCAATGAAAACAATGTTTAAATCCAATGAAAACATATTATCTGACTTCACAGGAATAAAGTGAACCACTATTTTAGTCCTTTTCAACGAGGCACAATATTATAACGTTTCGATGTTAATAAATAGACTTTACGTTTCTCATGCTTACGATCTTAGAGACTTAGACTAACTGAATATACTGTTTAAAGAAAAGAAAACGTTACAGTCTCGTTAAATGTATATGCTAATTATTACCAAATATTCTCATTTCCACGAAATAATATATTGATAACGGGAGTGGTTTGTGAGAACTATTGCGATTAATYATTATTCGCGTAATTTAAAAACATTTGAAAAAATGAAATTAGAATGAATAGAAAATGATTCATCTATAAAAAATGGGTACCTGAATTCTTGCAACGTTTAGACCARTGGTTCTCAAAATGTTTTCCCATTGCGGCACATTATCATAAGTTATTATAAGTCACGGCACGCGCTGAATTCATATTATCTAAATGTAAATATAATAATTTCAWAATATTTTTTTACTTAAAAAAGTTMTAGTTGACGYGGCACACCCTTTGGGAAACACTGGTTCAGACGTATATTGTGCTGCAAATGTATTAAGCTACTTACCACATAACTGCACTAGTGGATACCATTGAAATATGTATTATTATTGATTGTCACGAAGTTTGACATGGCTCATTTTATAATGACTTGCTGTACTAAAATATTTAGATCGCATATTATTATTATGACGTCATATAAAAAAAAAAAAACCGATTTTGCAGGAGTAATGATGTAGCTAAATTGCCTATCAAAGTCGCCGTGTTACATTATTGACACGCTTTAGGGTTATGATAATATTATACTACTCCAYAGTATCAGTAATGATCACCACAATTTAATAATGGCAGCCAGAGACTAAAAC